TTCTCTACTGAGCGACAGCTGTACCCAGAAGCTTGTCTCTGCAAGACCAATAACTGAGGTCCAATGTGGAGCAGGATCCAGACATGTTAGTGTGAATTCACCTCCTCATGTCAGAACTGAGTGAAGGGAGAGAATAGATGGGATTCCTGTGTCTTCCGAAGTGTGTTAGAATTGGGGCTAGGAGGAGGGGGCCAGGCCAGAGAGGAGGAACGGAACGGATGGGTATTGAAAACAAACTCAATCTGGCCCGAGGTCATGTTTTCACTAATTGACTTTTGGACTTGCATCAAAAATAGCAGAAATGAAAGCCTAATAAAAATAGAACCCACGGGGTGAGGGAAACTTTTTCATAACCACCCAAGTGAGAGTAACAATGTGAGCTAATTCAATTTGAAGTATAAACGAAGAAGTTATTCCGTGCAACGGGACTGAGTCATTTTATTTCAGTGCTAAATGCCATGAAATGGAGGGTAGATAGGGGATCTGGCTAAGTGGACTGGGGCAAGGGAGGTGGAAACTAACCATTCTACTGGAGGGCAGAGGGTAAGCAAATGACACATTCTTCAACAGCAACTGGCCATCGAGGCTCTCTAAAAGCTGTATTCTAATAGCACTCCAACACATGCCAATTACAAGAAACTCATTGTGAAATCCTCATTTGTTAAGGCTATGTGAGAATAACAAATTATGCTTAATTTTCTATTTACAACTGATGAACTTGTCTTCCCGGGTCCAGACCTATTAACTGGCTTTCAGATACCAAGTTCTGTGAAAAGACAGAAAAAAAAAATTTTAAGTTTCCTTTAACTAGTGCTTTCCATCATTTTTTTCTGCCATTATGCACACAGAAAAGGACAAGTTTATACAAGTGATAGGAGCAGATCATTTGAGGCAGACGTTGCTATCTCAGATAGACGAGTCCCCCAACTGAGAAATACCTCTTTTGGCCACAGGTGAGCTGGGAAGCCCAGACTGTCTGTGAGATCAAGTTTTTACTGAAGCCTCATGGGAAAGAGGAAAAAGCCCCAAACTAGGGGAAGAGATCAATACCTTGGCCTTATCTCTGCTAATTGTTAAGACACCGAACAAAGCTTCATCCTGGGGAATATAACAGTTTGGAAGAAAATGGCCCCCAAAAGGAGTGGTACTTGTACATGTGTGAGGGTTACAAAAAAAAATTCTGAACACTCAACAACCAAAAATTAATTCAAAATCTAACACATAACGACCCCAGGTTGGTTGCGAAAGCGCCCCCTTGTATTCCACTGCCTTCTCTGCATGTACAGTGTGTACACTGGGCATGTTGTCCCACCACACAATACCAATGAATGTTCATGACAGCCACATGTGATGAACTGCAGTGTTTAGAGCAGACATACTGTTTTCTGCTCTCACAGAAACATAATGCTTTAATTCCAGAAAACAAATGTTTTCCCACAATGGTTCCTGAGCATGTAAATATCAAATCAGTATACGCTTGGATTGTTTTGTATTGAATGATTTGTTTTTTCAACATTGCCCTCTGGGTAGTTGACTTGAATTTCATTTAAAAAAAAATCACTAAGTGGATTTTGACTTTGAATTAGAAAAGAATTTCCAATAATTTCTGCAATGGCCCTGAACATATTTCTGCCATTTGCCCTGTGAGGAGAGAAATTCCAAGTGATGTTCTCAGCATTGATGCTTACAAAAGCAAAATATTGGGCAGATCTGAAAAAGTTTAAAGATACTCTGTGTCCTGCAGGATCAGCCAAGACTTCATTCTTTATGTGAAAATAAACAGGTATGTTCATCTCATTTGTATCAAATTGACCTCCTCTTTAATTAGTGGAGATGATAGATAGATAGATAGATAGATAGATAGATAGATAGATAGATAGATAGAGGCATATTAATATATATGATTTAAATATATACTTGATATATATATTTGACTTAGTGGAGATAGATAGATAGATAGATAGATAGATAGATAGATAGATAGATAGATAGATAGATAGATAGAGGCATATTAATATATATGATTTAAATATATATTTGATATATGTTTGACTTAAAATAAATTTATTTATGATTTACCAGCAAATGTTTCATTTGTATGCCTATTTTATGTAGCTATATACCAAGGTCATGTAAAAACATCTTGAGCAAATAGGAGCCTGGAGAAGAGAAAGCTGAAGAGGTCTGGACAGAGACCCACACACACACTCCCAGCGGTTCCCAGCAGCAGACAGGAGCTTCCGTGAGAACAAGGCTGCTGAACCTTGACGAGTGAGGAGCGCCGTGTGTAGGAGTCGCTTCTGTAGCCGGGCTTTTGAGTTGGGCCAAAGAGCTGAGGGGGTTTTGGCTTCTTGAGTACCTCTGTTGAAATTCCCTGGGGAATTTTGTTTTATGAAATTCCCAGCAACTGTGAACCTCACTGGCTAATGATTCAAAGCCTATAGAGCTCCCTGGTAGGTGAAAAAAAAAAAAATGTATTTGAAGTCTGCTGGAAGAGTTGTGGGAGGGAGTTGAGTTCATCCATGATCCCCATTATATATTGACAGAAGCAACCTCTTCAGTTTTTATTGCCAATTACTTTTGCTTCCAAAGCCAAAGGAAGTTATTTGAGGTGAGCCTTTTGGATTGGGCCCACCTGTCACCAGGATCCCAGATGGTGGGTTGTGCAATTTTCAAGATTACCTTAGAAATGATGTTATAGGCTAAATTCTTAACACCAGAGGTGCTGGCGTATATCACGGCACATTTGATGAATATCAGCACAGAATAACTTCTGACTACCCAGCACGAGGTCTGCATTGCTGAGAACAGAGAAGTGGGTGAAGGGTTCGATATTAACAGATAATAGAACTGCCAAAGCGGGGAAAGGTGGTTTGTAACGGCTTTCCAGTCAAAGCCTTCCCAGTACCCCACTGCTGTGGGTGTATCTAAACTTCTTTGTCAGTTTAAGGAGGGTGTCCTATGAAATTTACTAGACTAAGACGGAGTAGAGGATGCAGAATAGCTCCTCAGCGAGTGACATTTGTAAACGGAGTGAGTCCTAGACCTAACCCTCAACTTTCTGTATATGTGTGGTACTGTAGTCAAAGAGGTCCTTCCACGTAGCAGCTAAGAAGCAACTAAAACCATTCGAGGTGCCCCCTGAAAACCATTGTTTAGGAAACCCTTCTGAAGGTTTTCCTCCAAGATGCTCTCACGGTGTTCTCTGATTTGCTTCTGAGGTTCGGGCTGTCTGGATCTTAAACCATTCCTCCAGCCCTGGACACTTTAATAATTATATGATCTCGTTTAGGTTCTTACTGAAACAAACCAACTGTATTGTAACATTCTGAAGACAAGGAGAGACACTTGGATGTGGGCTGTGTATTTGACGGTATCAATCACTTACTGTTAGTTCTGACAAGTGTGGCAATGGCCCTGTGGCTATGTAGGAAACCATCCATATTTTGAGCAGTCCACACTCAGATGCACAGGGCAAAATGACATGATTCTGGGCTTTGCTTTAGTATACTCTAGCCAACAGAAATTAAGAAGTAAGGAAAGGCCGTGGATAAAGTAAAAGTGGGAAAATGGTCTTAACTCTGGAGTTTAAGCAATAGCTATTTTGAAGTTCATTATATTTTATCTTCCCTGTTTGGGGACATGCTTGAATTTTTTTTCTTAGAAAAATTGCTTTTTAAAGGAAATAAGAAATCTCATGCCTATAGTCCCACTATTCAGGAGACCGAGGCAGGAGAACACTGAAATAGTATTGGATACAATGAACCCAATGTAGGCTACATGTTCCAAAAAAATCAAAAGCAAACTAAGATGGACAGAAAGACAGAAACAAATACAAATTTCAGAACATCACCTAAAAGACAAAAAGTAATCTGAGAAACCCATTTCAAGCAATAATAAAAGATGTATATTGTTGACAGATAAGACCATCAAAATCCTGATATATCTGAGTGCCCTTCATGGAGCCACAAGTCAATAGCGCAGTGTCAAATATATTTCAGTGCAAAATATTGAAATACAAAAGGAGTAGACATGTAAAATTTCGAGTTTTTATCATTCGGTTTAGCCTAAAATAGCCTACCTCCATTCATAAAATATTTTCTAAATTTATATTGTGGCTTAAAATTAACAATGTTGCAAATTCCTCCCTTCAGGGCTCAGGGAACCCTGCAGAAGCGGAGGCAGAAAGGGTATAATAACCAGGGCGGATGGAGGACACACAAAAAGACAAAGCCCTCCAAATCAACGTGATCAGAGCTCATATAAGCTCGCAGAGACTGAGGAGGCATGCACAAGGCCTGCGCACCTCTGCACCAGGAGCTTTGCATGTATGTTATGACTTCCAGTTTAACGTTTTCACGGGATTCCTGAGCGTGTGAGTGAGTAGTTCTCTGACTCTTGTGCCTTCTCTTGGGCTTTTCTCCTTCTCTTTGTTTGTCTTGTCCAAGTCCAATGTGGTAGTTTTTATATTATCTTATTGTGTTTTATTATTATCCTTAGAAATCTGTTTGTTTTCTAGTGAGAAGGGAAAAAAGGAAGTGAATCCAGATGGGAGGAGACGTGGGGAGGAACTGGGAGGTGTACAGGGCAGGAAAACCATAACCAGGGTATATTATGTGAGAGAAAAAAATCTATTTTCAGTAAAAGGGGAAAAAAGAATGTGAAACTCCAGAGGCTGCAAAAAAAAATGTTGTATTTATTGATTTAAATTTTTAAAGATTTGTTTCTTTTTCTTAAAGAAAACGATACAACATCCCTGGATTGAATAGTAATAATAATAATAGTAACAAACCGATATGAGGCGAGGTGGGGCCAGGAAGAAGGGAAGTTGGGTGAACTGCAAAATGGAAGCGAACCTCGTATTTTGAAAGCGTTGTTTTCTGGCAAGATTCATGATCTTCCTCCCACACCCTGGTGTGTGGCCAGTGTCTGGGGGAAAGTATTGCCACTCTAAGCAAGATTCTGAAAGAAGCAGCCACTGGTGGGGGGTCTTTCTCAGGCTCCTCAAGGAGTTCTAAAAGCATTGAAATCTGAAGAAAAGTCACATGTAACAGTGTGACTGAACACAGGGAGGCATTATGCTAAGTGCAGGAAACACAACACCCACCAATCCATCAACTCCCCCTCGTGTACAGAATGCAAAATAGCGAAACTCACAGAAGCAGAGAGAATGGAAGGAACGAGATGCTGGCGAAGGGTAGAAAATTTCCGTTCTACAAAGTGAACAGGTTTGGGACGTCTCGTCTGTGGCACGGCAATTGTATTTAACAACACGGTATTGTGCATTTGCTATTTGTAAAGAGGGAAGATCTGCAGTGTCCTTGGCATACAGAACCAGTAAAGGCAATCGTGTGATATGATAGGTAAGCTAACTAACTTGTTGGTGGTAATTGTTTAACCATATGTGTAGCGGGAATCTTAAAAGTTCTTATTAATAAAATCAAACCTGAGGCCAGGTGTTGGGGTGAATGCTGGAAGATCAGAGAAGCAGAACAAGCCACAGCTTCCTCACCTCGCCAGTTTCTCAGCTGATCCTGTTTCCTCAGACTGGAAGCTTCTGAGTCCTCATCCAGAATGGTTCTCAGCTGAACTGCTGCTAGAAGCCTGAAAGCTTAACCAGCCAAATGCTTCTAGTTTCTGGTCTTCATGCCTTATATATCTTTCCTTTCTACCATCACTCCCTGGGATTAAAGGCTCGCTTTCTGGGATTAAAGGCGTGAGTCACCATGCTTGGCCGTATCCTTGAACAGATGGATTTCTGCCTCTGGAATGCTAGGATTAAAAGGTGTGAGTGCCACCATTTTCTAGCCTTTGTATCTAGTGGCTGTTCTGTCTCTGACCCCAGATAAGTTTATTAGGGTGCACAATATTTGGGGGAACACAGTACCACCACACATATGTGTATAGATCAAAACATCAAGCTACAGTATTGTTTTTATCTAAGTTGTTCTATTTACCAATAAAGCCTTGGAGGTCAGATGTTGGGGTAAAAACCTGCGAGATCATAGAAGCTGAGAAGCAACCAGATCACCTTTCTTTTTGGCAGGAAACCCAGCATAAGAGCTTCTCTCCACCCATCCCAAACCAAAAAGGACTGCTAATCTCTAAGTCCCCCCCCCTACTCTTTCCTGTGTGCCTCTCTATCCATGTCCCTGGCTCCTCCCTATTCTCTATGGTTAATTCCTGTCAACTAGTTGCTGGCTCCGCCCCTGATCCAGGGTTAATTTTGTTAACACAGTCTTAGAGTTTCACAGTGCAATCAAATATCCCACAACATTATCTATAAACCTTAAATATATTTGATTCCTATTATTCAATTATACTTTAACAAGACAGAAAAATAAAGACCGGGAAGAGATGTGTTCATCCAACCTAGCATTGGCTTACTCCATCTTTTATGAGCTGGACAGTCCTATGTTGCTAACCCCTCAAGCAGAGAGCTCAGAAGCAGGGGGCTAAGTTGGATGAAATATTGCATGGAGAACAGTCAGATATTTTTCATGCCTCACAGTCTCAACTATTCCTCCAGGTTTGACACACAGCCAGTCCTGGGTGTCAAAGCACGGATCTCTTCGAACGGCTCAGTTGAGAGTTTACTCAGGGTGATGATTTAGCATCTTGTTAGACGAATGGATGTGTGTGGACCTTTGGACAGTAGAGCTTTGACACTACCATGTGGAGCATTGAGGACAGAAATGGAGGTTTCCCTAGTTGAAGAGAAAAGGTGAACTTGGAGGAACAGTGAGAAAGCATGGCATTCTGTCAGCCAAGTGCAGCTGCGTGTAGGGATTCCAGAACGGGGGAGTCATTAGGCCAGTGCACCAAGATTGTAATGTGGACAGCATGTGGGGAAGGAAGGAGGTCCAGCTGAGGAAAGACAGAGGAGGGTGAGGTCGGGAGGCTGATGGCCAAACTAGAATACCAAAACAGAAACATCGTGTGTCATGTAATGTAGTATTGTGGTTTAAATACGAAATGTGCCCTTCCATCCCTGCTCACGTGTTGGGAGATCCTCAGCTGATGGCACTATTTGGAGAAGCTGTGGAAATTTTAGCAAGTGGGACCGAGATGAAGAAAGTAGGTCACTGAGGGACACAGACTTGAGGGGTCTCTTGTCCCCAGCCCCTTCCCGTCAGTCTCTGCTTCCTTTGTATAATGAAGTGAAGAAGCTCATTTACCATAAGCTCCAACCACCATGTTCAAACCAAGGAACCATGAAATGACCCCTCTGAAACTGTGAGCCAAATAGATCCTTTCTTCCTTTAAGTTGTTTGTGCCAGGGATGTAGGAAGGGGGCTACTCTAGATTACAGTATTGAGGATGTTAAAAACAGGACCGAAGATGGCCCAGGGAAGAGAAGCTCAGTAGCTTCAAATAAACAGGACATGCTGAAACAGTCTACTGCGTTCACGCCACCGGGTGTTTGAAGGTGTATACGTCTTAGGGTTTCTATTGCCGTGAGCATGGCAACTCTTATAAAGGAAAACATTTCACTGGGGCTGGCTTATGGCTTCAGAGGTTTAGTCCATTGTTATTGTGGCAGGAAACATGGCAGTGTGCTGGCAGACAGGGTGCTAGAGAAGTAGCTGAGAGTTCTCCATCCAGATCTTCAGGCAGCAGGAAGTGAATGCCACACTGGGCCTGGCTTGAGCTTCTGAGACCTCAAAGTCAACCCCCAGTGACACACTTCCTCCAACAGCAGCACACCTATTCCAACAAGGCCACACCTCCTAATAGTGCCACTCCTTGTGAGCCTAAGGGGGCCATTTTCTTTCACACCACCACAGTGTATCTCTATATATCCATCGTTTGTCTGAATTCTCATAGTAAGCGATATTATTACTAACTATCCCACTCTAGAGACTGAGGCTTGGGGCGGTTGAACATGAAGCTAGCTAAGCAGAGTCAATATTTTCCTCTGGATGTGTGTACCTACTCTTCTTAATGAATTGCTTCTTAATGAAGCTGGGATGAGTGATGGCGATGGAATTCTTATTAGATAGTGATATCTGTAATAATAGGAACCCAACCAACTCTTGAGAGGTAGGATCGACAAGACTTGGTAAGCAGTCGCCCATGGAAATACTTGATTCACCGTGTTGGTGAAAGAAAAAATAATATTCCACTAATCCATATAAAAAGCCAAAGGAAGGTTGGCTGGAATATAAAAGATTACTAATTTGCCTTTGGCTGCATTGAACTGTAAATGGCATTGATTTGTTTAGGGAAGAACATCTTCCTGAAAGCTGGAAAATTAATTCTTTTATGGAAGAATATGAAGCTAGAAAGGGAAACTGGAATGTCACATGTAAGATATAAAGGGTTAAATGGGCAAAGTTGGGGAAACAGAAGATCAACCCAGACTTCCTGTTCTCTCCGCGCAGAATAGAGATGGCTTTTTCCTCAGCCACGTCTTCCCGAATTATCTATCCCACTCAGAAATGAAACAAACACAAGACCAAGTTTTATGAAAAGCCACGTAGAATAATTCCTAAACCTCCCATCTCTGGGAGGAAAAGAGGCGGGTTTTGTAAAATCGGGATTCTAAATAAACTTACCAAGAGGCAAGCTGCTCTGTCTCTGTTTTGCATTTCCTGAGGAAATAGAGTGTGAAGGCCTGGGTCTCCCTGAGAGCCACCCCACTTCCGACCAGGGCCAACACAGCTCAGGAACCTTGGAGGTGAGGCCCTGCAGGGGAGGAGAAGTCCGTCCCATCTGTTCTCTCTTGCACCAGTCTGAATAACAGAAAGGGCAAAGAGAGGACAAAATTCCACCGGGGACCTCTGCAGAAGGCAATAAATGTCGGTGTCAGCAGGGAAGAAAATGAAGCAAAGGCAGGCCGTCTGTGCGACTTGTAGCTCACCACCTCATCCTTCTTCTCTGACAGACAGATTCCCATCACCACGCTGACCTATTCATCCCTGTGGTGCGCATTTTTGTGTCAGATTGCGTGTTCTGCATGCTTCGGCTGTGAGTACCCGGGGATCACAGTGCAATGGCTGGCTGGGGTTACAGGGAGTAAGCTTGCTCTCTGAGAACTTTACAAGCTTTACAGACAATGCAAAAACACAAGTAATCCCCTGACAGAACACTTGCGTCCCTGCCGTGACAGCGCTCCCGTGGACACTGACTGCCGAGATGAACCTCGTGCGTGCGAAGGGAAGTCCGGCTAGGTTGGAAACATGACAGCCGTCTCAGGGATTACTCGTGAGTACCTACTGCATGCCAGCAGTCAGCTCACATGCCATCTGGGGAGACAGAAAAATCGATGTTCCGTGGTTGGTTAAAGATGCTGATAGGCACATGTTCCATGAAGGAGCCACGGAACAAACGGCAGCATCCGGGCTGAGAGAAACTAAGTCAAGTTCTTTGCTACATCCCGGAAGTAAGAGCAGGCATGGACTCTCGGACCTGCATCTCTGGTGCTATTGTGACCTATACATTCAGGGGGAAAAAACATGTCAAAGTGGTTCACACTTGTAATCCCAGCTACTCAGAAGGCTGAGGCAGGAGGGTCATGAGTTCAAGGTCTACCTGAGTGGCAGAGTGAGGTCAAGGCCAGCATGAACAATGTTGTGAGACTTTGTCTCAAAATTTAAAAAGCAGAAAGTGAGCTGGGCATGGAGCAGGGAGACGCTCAAGAAATCCCATCCCTAACTAAGGAATTATTGATAGCTGGTATTTTCTGGTAAGGGTAGAAACACTTTTTCCTTAAGGCTGTGACCCCTGGTGACTTGGCCGCACCCCAGGAGATGGTCCCCCCATCTGTGAGCATCTGGGCAGCATAAATTGAACTTGACATGTTATTAAGACAATTAAAAAGTACATCAAGTTGGGAGGTAGGCAGGTTGGATCTGGGAGAAGTTATGGGGAGGAGTGTGGGGTGAGTATGACCAAAATACACTATATGAAATTCTCAAAAAGAAGAATAAAAGCTTTGAAGTGGGCTAGGGATATGGGCTAGTGGTGGAACACTTGCCTGGCAGGCACAAGACTCTGAGTTCAGTGCCCAGTACCGCAGAAAAAGTGCGCAGCTCTTTCCCGAGTGAGGTCACCTTGTAACCGGGCGCTGCATCCCTCCTCACACCCTCTTTAGCTCTCCTAGTAACTCTCTCCTGTCAGGAGCAGCACGGATCTTTCCTGTTTGCATGCGTTATGTACCAGGGCTCAGTACATACTGCCTGGCCTCTTTTTGCTTGATGTTACCCTTGTGAGGTACATTCATGATGTTTTATCTATAGAGGGGTTTTCTTTCCACTTTTGTGTTGCGCATTGTGTAACTATAACCTAATATCCTCACTCGTTCTCAAATGGACACCAGGGTCCTTTCTCCTATTCTTTTGACAAATTGTTTTTCTGCACAAACATTGGAGAGCCATTTGTTACTAGTTTAGACCTAAGGCTCTTGCCTGGTATTCTTTTGTTTTGATTCTGAAATTTTATTAGGCTATTTAGCTTTTTGGTTGATTAAAATGGTGGAGGGAGATGTGTGTTTTTCTCAAACAAAAAAGACAAAGAGCAAAAACCAAAATTTCTTTTTTTAAACAATGCTGTTAAGGACAAAGATTTTTCTTCCCTGGCTCTTTAGCCAGGCCTGTGAACCGAGTCAGTGGGTCTGTGTCAGCTGTGAGGTCTGCTGATCTAAAACAACATTGCGTGTAGATGGAACTCTGAGTTCCCAGCCTGGCTCAGACTTCTGGCCTCACTGGGTTTTCTTGGGCTGCCACCCAAGTTCGTCAGGAAGGCTTCTCCACGGGGGTCAGTGAAAATCACAGCTCTGGGGAGCTTCGTCTGCACAGCCAGTGCTTTTCATCTTGATTGCACAATAATGGAGCTCTCGAGGTTGCGGTTTCCTCCATATTAACCATTCTCCCAGCGGCCACTCTCCGAAGTTCTGAAGAATACTGTCAAGTGACGATCAAGGGAAAAGGGGACATGACCAGTTTTACTTAAAGACAGACATGGAGACAGCCACCCATCACGTGGGTCTTCCTGTTTTTCAGGCATATGACATCCATAGGATGCCATAGCAACGTCCATAGAAGTACATGCCACCTGAGCAGGGCCATAGGGAATAAGGACAACTGTCACTGGATCTTGTTCCTCTTTGGTCAAGCTATGTTGACTGCCAGTGCAGTCATTCAAGGCTAATTTTTGAGTAATGAATTAGACTATCCAGCTGTTGTTTTCTTTGGTTATTGAAAGAGCCTGACATGCAATAATAATGACAAATATTTACTCAACACTGGGTATGTGTGTCAGGTCTTATAATGCATGACAAGGATCCACAAAATAGATGTGTATTGGTTGCTTCTCTTGTTGATATGGCCAAATATCCACCAAGAATTAGCTCAGGAGGGAAAAAAAAAATATTTATTTTTGCTCCCAGTTTGAGAGCACAGTCCAGCATGGCAGTGGAAGGTTCTCGTGTCCATGGCAACAGAGACACCAAGTTTCTTGCTCACATCTGAGTGAACCAAGAAGCAGAAAGGGGCAAGACATGGGGCCAGACTAAGACCTCAAGGCCCCAGCTCTGAGGAATGCAGCTCCTCCAGCTAGGCCCCCACTTCCCCAACGTTCTGAAGGTCCAAAAGAGCTCCACCAGCTGGAGGCCAAGTATTCAAACACACGAGCCTGTGGGAACCATTTGACATATAAACTATGACCCATCTTCACATCACCAGAGGCCGGTCTCCTCCTAATGGCGGCCTCAATACCATCCCCTTGTCCTTCCCATGAACTTTCTTCCTACAATTAGCCCTTGTCTCTCCTGCATAATGAAAATTTCCCTCTTTCTTGGATGGTTTCCAGGACCTGACAAACACGTCCTCCTTTAAAACAAAAAGAAGACTCCTTTGACATTCTATCCCCTCCAGACACGGCCTTATTTCTCAACTCAATCACAGCACAACCTCTTCCTGCAAATGCTGTCTGTGGTCACTGTTGATCTTCTAAGCACCACCACCACCACCACCACCACCACCACC